CACCTTAAGTCAGAGTTGGTCTGTACTCCTAATATCTAGGTAACTCCAGTGTTCTGGTGGATTTTATATATCTTTGATCCTTTTTTAAAAAATCCTCAATAATCATAATTAAGAGAGGTTTTTGAGATTTTGCTAAAAGGTATTGCTCCAAATATACTTATTAACTTATGTAATTACTTTTTAGAGTGCTTAATTCATCTAAATGTAGGTAAATCTCTTTTCTCTGAATACTGAGGGCTATGGTTTATTACTTGGTATAAACATCTTTGTGGCAAGATCTTGCAACTGACTTGTTATCTCTGAACACGATGTCACGTATCCTGATGTACTGAACGCAGTGTGTCTTAAGAAAATGTCAGGTGTGTATTGTAGTATATGACAGAACATTATGGCATATAACCTCCACCCCATTTTTTTAGTTTTTAATCTTTTGTTAGCCTAGCCCTGGGTTATTTTTATTTTTTAGTGTATGCAAAAAATATATCCTCATAATTACTTAACTCTGTAGTAAAACATGTTCAAGTTATAACCATTTGGATTTTATAAGTCATTTGACACTTTGGTTCTTTTATGTTTTAGGATATATTTCTGACAGGTACGTTATGTTATAGGTACTTTAAAAATTTAATTATTTTAAAGTCTATTTTCGGTATGTGTCTTATAATCAAAGATCTAATTATAGGTGTTATGTATAAGAAAAGTATTCTCTTTTATGTTTTAAATGTTCTCTTTAGTGTTCCTGTTTTTTTTTTCTATATATACTGAGAGATATTAGGATAGATATTGTTAAATACACGTTACAGGTAAAGATAAGTAAGCCTCAGAATTTACATAGCAAAAAAGTAGAAGAGTGTAAATCTTTTGGTCTCTTCTAAAAAGCTGAATGGGGAAAATTTCCACTGGGTTGAGATCCATACCTTTGTAACATTCAAAACAATTGTAAACCACATTTTATATTTTTCCTTTCAATATGATTTGTGTAGATTGCCTGTGTTATTCAGAGGTTGATCCTAATTACATGGTGATAGGAACATGTTTTCTATGTTTACTTATTTGAAAATATACCATGTACATGAAAAGGTTTTATTTGAATACATTTTTAATTTTACATGTTTACCTGTGTGAAAAAATTTTTTTCCTTACTTATGTTTATGGAAGCTGAAAGTGTACGTGGTCATTAATTAAAATGGATTAGAATGGATATAAAGTACTAGCACTTGGTCTAGAGATTAGTAAACCAAACTATTTCTCCGTGTGGCAGAGAGATATGGAAGAAGTGAAAGGGGCAAGTAAAGAAATTTGTAAAGGTAACAACGTAGTGTGTGTCATTTTTCAGGTCATTTCTTTAGCCAAAGAAGAAATTTCTCATTCACTTGTTGGTTGTTCTTTGAACTGGGTTCAGCAATATTCTGGAAGTAGAGCTCAGAAATTAATTATTCCCAAGGTTGTGATTAATTATTATTAATCATCATTATCAATAATGGTTTATTATTAAATTATTATTTATTATTAATTATTAAATTAATAATTCCCAAGGTGGGTGATTTAAAACTCTGTGTAAATATTTGCCATTTGCATTGTATATCCTTTAAAAATGGAACTGAAATTTTGCTTTCTTTTACACAAATGAATTGCTGTGATTTGCCCCTGATTTTGCTGAATGAAGTGAATAAATTTGATAGTCCTGGGGGCCTTTATTATCTTGGTAATTGCTTATGTGGGTAAAGATTTTATCTAGTTTAAAAAAATTGTTTTAAAGGAACATAGATATTTTTCCTGCTCTGGTATTGGGTAGCCCATTGAGAAAATAGATAGACTGTGTATTGTTATATTTTGTTTTTCTTTGAAAACAATATTTTGCTATGGCTGCTTTTAAAGAAAAACCTTTCTTTCATTGGTAAGAATAACTTCTCCCAAGAAGAAAATCATATTTTCTTTAAATTTTATGATTTCACATTTAGAAAATTTATATCTAAACAGAAGTGATGAATGCCAGCCATAATTTAATACTTAAGAAATTAATGATATTATTCCTTTGCTTATCTTGAGTGCTTAATCTATATCCTTTAAAATCTTTTCTTTGGCATTCTTTTGAATAACTTTTGGGTTATATTAAAGTTTACTAGTAAAACTTTTTGAGTAGCTTAAGGCTAACAGTAATAACAGTAATTAAGAATTACTTGAGGCAGTTTATGTCATAGTTCCAAAGCCATGTTTTAGTTTTCTGCCAATTAGGCTATTTTAATTATGGTCAGTGTTGAGTAATAATGATGTGAATAAAATACAAGTAATTATTGATCCATAATGATGTCTAGTGAATTAATGTTGGTAGTTTAAAATTACTTATAAATCATATATGGTTCTTGATTTTTTTGACTCAGTGTTTGTATCATTATTTATTTTAATTTGAATATCTTTGGATGGCTGTGAGAGGTCTTTCTCTAGTTTAGATTTCTGTTGCCTGCTTAGAGTATAATCATTTCAAATCTACCTGATTTCAACATTGGTTGTACATAGACTTACCTAAAAGTGGTAAAGCCTTCTAAAAGAAGATCATGACTGAAACATGCCATTCCTAGTGACTTTTTAAGTTTCATCAGTTTATTGGGAGTTATTTAAGACTATCCTCTTAGAATAAGTAGTTAAAAGTATCCTGGGATGGTTGATATTTGGTTATTTTTTAGAAGTGATCTATCATGAGAGGTAATAAATGTGTTTTAGGAGATTAGGGAAATGCCTAAACCTGAGGCTGATGAGGACATACTGCAGGGCTAGAATTAAGTTGCAGTCTATTTCATTACAATGTGTACTTGAAGTTGTTTTTCCAAAGGATATTTTAATATAAAGGCAGTGTCTTCCTTTTTAGAAGGAAAACTGGGTAATATGAAGTATATATGTATACAGTACCATTTTGGGCTAAAATGAAAGCTCTTTAGGAGTCATCCCTATTAGTGTCTCTAGAGAAGTACCATTTTTTTTTTTTTTGGTTTTGTTTTGGGTACAAGGGATTGAACCCAGGAGTGCTTAACCCCCGAGTCACATCGCCAGCCCTTTTAATATTTTATTTAGAGACAGGGTCTCGCTGTGTTGCTAAGTGCCTTGCTGATCTGCTGAGGCTGGCTTTGAACTCTCAATCCTCCTGCCTCAGTCTCCTGAGTTTCTGGGATCACAAGCATGTGCCACTGTGCCCAGCAAGAAGTACTCTTTATTGTAAGGCATCAGTAGTTTAGCATGTTTTTTATAGTCTGGATGAAGTTATTTCTCAGAACTTTTCTGTTTCCTTTTATTGGATCCCACGTTTATGAGTACTTTGTCGGTACTCATATATATGTTATGCATCTTGATGCTGAGAAAGAACTAATTATTCAGGATAGTGGATGCAGTATCACTAGTAAACTTGGTTAGTTTGTCAGGCACCAAGACTGTCATTCTTCAATGCTGAGTTTATAGACAAAATTTAGTTTCAGGAATTTTAATGTTGTGAACTTGATCTTATTAAGATGTTGGCAGTGAAGTACTGCCTGAAATTCTGGCTTACACCTTTTCCATCTACTTTACTTTTTTTTTTTTTTAATTGGTACCAGGGATTGAACCCAGGGGCACTTAAACACTGAGCCACATCCCCAGCCCTTTTTAATATTTTATTAGAGTTGGGGGTCTCCCTAAATTGCTAAGGCTGGCTTTGAGTTTGCTCTCTTCCTGCCTTTGCCTCCCAAGCCATTGGGATTACAGGTGTGCGCCACTGCACCTGGCCTACTTTACTCTTTTAAAGCTAAAAATTGGGGAAATCTTTTTGCTTTTATGACACTTTTAAGCAGATCTGGGTGGCCAAATTGTAGCCTCAAATATAACTTGTAATTCTAGGAATGCATATTTGAGTAAATAGGGAAATGTTTGGTTTTGATAATTGAAAGGTGGTTGAATTGAAACATTACATACCATACTCTAAAATGTAAAGAATTATCTTGTTTTTTAGCTATGTTCACCAGGACCATTGACGATTTTTATAACATTATTTGCCTAAATAATTTAACTCCTCTGAATATTGAAGTTTAGTGAAAAATAATAAGAAAAATAGAATGACCTTTTGTTTTCATCCATTGTAGTTGTGGATAAATTTTCTCAGAAAACTGAATAATTATAAATTTTTAAGGATATTAAATACCTCTTAGAGTTATTAAATATCTCTTACAGAGTTGGTTCAGTTGGGAATGGAATGTAGCCTCACTCTAGTCTGAACTTTTCAAATAGTTCTAGATTTTTAAGTATGTATGCATTTATGTTTCTGCATTATTTTCCTCTTAACACTTACTTTTGCATTTCTAGTTGTTTGAGTTTGTGTTATAATCTGCTTTCTCCAAAATTAGATCAAAGGCTTTTTTTTGTGTGTTTATTGTATGAACTTGACCTTTTTTTTTTTGGTACCTGGCATTGAACCTAGGGGCGCTCAACCACTGAGCCACATCCCTAGCCCTTTTTAAAATATTTAGAGACAGGGTCTTGCTGAGTTGCTTAGAGCCTCACTAAGTTGCTAAGGCTGGCTTTGAACTTGAGATCCTCCTGCTTTAACCTCCCAAGCTGCTGGGTTTACAGGCATGTGCCACCATGCCTGACTTAATTTGATCTTGATATAAAGGTAGCTTAGTAAATATTTTCTAATCAATACTTTATTAATATTATTTCTTTTTAATATAACTTTTTATATGTTCAAATTAAAATTAAAAAAAAATTATAAAAAATTTTTCCTCTTTTAGTGCTTTTCCTGTGAGATAAAACTGTTTTAAAGTATCTTTTATTTGCTTTGTGTATACTATGTTAGGTGGGAAAGTATTTTTATAAAATGATTTTACTGGGTTTCAGTATCATTCTTATAAACCACTGTTTTTTATTTTTCAGAATATTTCCTTATTTCCCTTTTCTTTTGCAATTTTATAAACATGAGTTTAAAAACATACCCTAATCAATTATAACTGGTTTTCTTTTTCTTCTTCCTTTTTTAGGTTGTTATGGAGTTGATGGAGAGAGTGACTCTATTATGAGTTCAGCTTCTGAAAACTCCACTGAACCTTGGTTTTGTGATGCTTGTAAATGTGGTGTTTCCCCCAGCTGTGAACTGTGTCCTAATCAGGATGGGATTTTCAAGGAGACAGATGCTGGAAGGTTGATGTCTTAATTACATTGGATTCATAAGTCTGCTTTATAACATATTTGTTGTTCTTTTATTCATAGTTTCCTGAATTTCACATTTCATTTGATTGTTTCTTTGTATTTTATTTGGGTAGAAAAAATGGCCATGAAGATACAGGTGTAGAGGTGGAAGAAAGACCACTTATTGGGTATTTGATGCAATTGGTCTTTGCATCATCCCATTTAATTTTTTTTAGTACTGGAGATTGAACACAAGGGCATTTTACCACTGAGCTATAAATCTCCAGTCTTTTTTATTTTTTAATTTGAGGCAGAGTTTTGCTAAGTTGCTAAAGGTCTTGCTAAATTGCTGAGACTGGCCTTGAGTTTGATGGTCCTTGTGCCTCAGTCTCTCAAGTTATTAGAATTACAGGTGTGCGCCACTGCATCCAACTTCCCATTTAATTTTAATAATGACCTTATGAAGAGGCAAGTAGTAAATTTTCTGAAATTATAGGAGTTGTATTTGAGGTCTTATTAGGTCAAGGTCACAAGGCAGTAAATAGTTAAATTTGAGTCCAGATCTATCTCACTTCAGGAATATACTATATAGGGACTTAAAAGGGGAAATTTCAATGAAAGAATGGTTAAGCTATGATAAAAGAGTAAGCATAAGATATAAAATAACTGAAAAGAGTACCCTGCAGATGGAAGAGATTATTTAAGGATAAAATTGGTAAAATGACCTCTTCCTCCAGATCAGACTTCTTGGAGAAATTGTAGTGGTAGTCTACCGGATGCTAGAAACATTTCCTTCTTTGCCTGTTAGTCTTCAGTTCTTGGCAAGTATGTTGCTAGGTGCATGTTGAGGGGGAGCTACACTGTTTGAAAGTCTGGGTCATATGGTATCTGTTAAGTGAACCACAGAAAAGTGACCTTCATGTTGGGTCAGGGCTGTGGGGTCACTGAGGGACTGAACAAGTGGTTGGGGCAAAGCAAATGTGCTCCGCCTATTTCTTCGGAGAAACTCCTTCCTTCTATGCTCTGTACCTTTGAATTATGATGCTTGCTACCATCTAACTCACTACAAGGGAATGTGAAGGAGTTCTACTATTGCAGAACAAGTATTGAAGTAAGAATTTGGAACTGAGAGGAAATAACTTGATATCTGGCACTCTTATGCTCTCATGCTGTTTTTCTCTAGTGTCACACTCAAGGTTATTATCACATTTGAGCAGTTGTCATCATAATAGTATTGACATTATTTGTGCTTTTTCCCCAGGAGGCTGTCACCTGTGGCATGTGACTTAAATATGAGAGTAATTCTCAGTTTTTTGTTTTGTAGATCACTTATTCTTCCTACACTTCCCCCACAATATGAGAGGAAGTGCTAAGTTTTTATATTTTTGTCAAATAAGTTATTTTCTGTATTTTTAAAAATATGGTTAATATTTTAACAACAAAACAAGTCAATAAAAATTGTCACCAAAACATTGAAAAGGGTGACACAATTTGTTCCAAAATAAAGGATAGACTTTAATAAATTTTACCTTAATTAAACATATTTTTCTCATTTTACCTCAATCAGTGAGCAGACTCTTGAGAAATGTTATATAAGATTCCTGGGATAGCCTAGGATCTGCCATGGGATCTTGGAGAAAGAACCTTATATGTTGATGTCCGGGAAAAATGATAAAAAATCTTACCTGTCTTTCTTCATCACACCCAAAATTAAAAGATATATGATTGACATAGACATGAATTTGTGGTCTATATGAGAGAAATGGGCATGCTTTTATGTTTGGTCTGACTTTGGCTAGATTTAGGGATTGTATTGAAAGCATGCGCTTCCAAATTGGAGTACCTATATTTGGATTTTTTTTTTTTTTTTTTTTTTACTAACTGTGGTGTTAGGCAAGTGCTTTAACCTTTTCAGCCTCAGTTCCTAAGCCTTGTTGTAAGGATTAAATGAGATGATTTATGCAAAACAACACAGTTTCTGGAACATAAGCGGTCTTACTTGTACTTTTGCTGCTGCTGCTCTTATTGCTTCCTTTTTAGCAGTATTACTCCACTTTTTAAAGATAATTAGCTACTGCATAAATTCTTTCTGGTTACTCTTCCAATCCTGAGAGTTGAAAATTATGGCGACAAACTGTGAACAAGTAAGGCAGCTTTTGGAAAATAGAGCTTCTTAGGAAGAGATTTGTGTTAGTATTTGCTTTTTTTCTTGTTAACACTTTAAAAGTTTTATTGAAGAGCTGCCTTTTCATGTTTTTATAATACACAAAACTTATGAAGTCCTTTCTAAATGTGGAAAAGGTAAACCTCTTCAATCATTGAGATTTACTGAGAAATATTTGTATAGCTAATACAAATATTATGAATATTACATGTTTAAACACTTACCTTAATTTGCAGCCTGGCAAAAAAATTCTTGTATATACTATTAGAGCATTTTGCATTGATGTCCACATTCACATATAAGCTTCAGTGGAAATTATAGTTCTTGATGTATTTTGCATAATGTAATATCAGTTTTGATTCAAGGCATAAAAAGCCAAGAAATTGGACAAACCTTTTGATCTTCTACCTTTAAATGGAAAGCAGGGAAAAGAAAGAGTAATGTATGGAAAGAATGAAAAAGGCTTTGGAATTGACTTCTATCTCATGGGTTAATAAGACTTTTTTTCTTCTCTATTCTTGTTGGGAGCCACAAGTTCTGCATACAAAATGATGTGATTTAATGTGAGAAAACCATCAGGATATTCTAGTTATTAAATTTTTATTTCATTTTCTAGGGAGAATATTTTACCTTTTTCTTAAATGATCTTATATTATTGATTTTCAGAAATATTAGATATACTTCCCTTCTTTAAGTCTTTTGTTAGTTGACTTCTCATCTATTGTGAGATGAAAATATCACTCTGAGCCCTATTCCTTGATTTTTAAAATAATTGTTGTGGTGAAAAAGGCAGTATTGAATTCTTTAGGTCTTAATTCTGTCACTTACTAGCCTTGTTATATCTTGAAATCATTTAACTCTTTTGAACCCAGTTTTTGATATCCAAAGTAAGAACAATCTACTAGTCATAGGAAACTTTTTAGTTTTGGTGTATGTGTGTGTGTGTGTGTGTGTGTAACTAGTGTTCTCTGAGTAAAGACAGTGAGCCAGACACTGTGCCACAAGCACTTCACATTCATCTTTATAACTTTCAAACTGCTTATGCACTGCTCTGTACCTGATGGACACTTAGTAATTGATTATTGATTGAGGGAATGAAAATAACATACTGGAAATGAATTTATTACATATGCTAAAAAGTTACTACATATGAAAAGTATTTAAAAATCATTTGCTCAATATAGTTTATGTTCAGAAATGAGTCTTTTGAGAAACATTTCTACTTAGTCTGGCTTATTAAAATATATACATTTAAAAGGATCTGGTAATAGTTTCTATTTAGAATGACATTTTTTATTGTTTTTTGGTGGTTTCATGTGATGCTTGTTATCTGCTCTTTTCACTAATCAACAATCTGTCATCATAGCTGCAAGCAAAATGGATGGTAAAGTAACAAGAAAGTTTTTTTTTGGGGGGTGTTGATTTTCTTATTTGTTTTAATTACAAAGTATATGCTGCTAAACATGAACACAACAGTATTTACTAGTATTAAAAAGAACCAAAATTGTCTTAGTAGTGGTTTTTCACTGACTTTGATATGTACTTTAATAAGAATTCAAGTTGGTGTCCTCACATGAGTGGTTGGGTGAAATGGTATACACTTTTGTGCCAATCACACTGAAGTGGCAGTTTAAAATTTGTAGTACTTGTGTGACTTGTTCTGAAACATTTTAAGAAGGTCAGTATAAAGCAAGCAGCCAGCTGTTGAGCTTATCAAAGATAAACTCCTACAGAATACAGAGACATTTAATATATCAGTGGAGCATGAAAAAACTGTACAAATTAAATTGAGAAAGCAGCTGCTTGTTGGAAGATGTGTATATTCATATTGAACTCCACAGGATGGTTTTGGGAAGTTGAATTAAAATGTTCTATCAAGAAAATTTCAAAAGCCTTGATTTTTTTTCCAAATAAAAATAATATTTTTAAAGATTTGCAATTATTTTGGTCACTATATCTATAGATGATTCTTAGTCCTTAAAACTCATAGTGTACCACAAAACCAGACCCTGTAGTTGGTACTCACATCCTCTCAAAGGCGATAAAGCAAAATTTGTTGTTAATATAATCACAAGGTTAGTGGAGATTTGCCATCTCATCTTACAGAAATGATATGGATGTACTACCTAAATTTCGAAGATGGTGATTCAATGTTTTGTTTGGTTGTAAGCAAACAAAGGATGTCTAATATATTAAGAAATGCTTCAGATTACTTAAAAAATGAAATCAGAACCAACTCTGATTTTTTTCATTGTATTGAAACTGAACATTTTTTGGTTTCATTGTAGTGAAACTGAACATTTTTTGGTTATGTCATCATTAAAATATATTTGGGGCATATACGTTTTAGTACATAGGTGGTATGATGAACAGATGAGTTGAGTGAAAATGTGACTTCCTTACATTGTTGTAATTTCTGTACCTTCTTGCAGCAATAAACTTTAGCCTGGCAAGAAAGCCAAATTGTAAACCAAAACTATTTTTAAAAAGTGTCCTTCTTAAGGATTACCCAAGAGCATTTGGAAAAGAGTAACATTAAAGAGCAGTTACTTCAGAGTAATTTCACAGTTCTTCAATTAGCATCTTTAATTCTTAAATTAGGATCCTTAATTCTCCAAGTGCTTACAGTAATGAATATGAATATTTTTCTATGCATATGAAAATGATGTTTTATTTGAATAGTAGTTTTATGCAAATATTTCAGAATAACAGATAAGTGCAAAGTGCAGTGATTTTTAAGTGAAAGGTAATTATAGTTGTTAAAGCTAACTTTTGGCTGAGTTGCTGAAAAAGTAATACTCATTGCAGTCATTTTTTTCTGTACTAAATTGCTATTATTCTGTACGTATTCTATATTCTTCAATTATGTGTCTGATTAAGATTTTTAACATTTGATCACAGATTTCTTTTCAATAGTATTTTAAGATAGCATATTTTAAATGTTTCTTTTTTCCCCTGTGAGAATTTCATGAAAGGATTTGATAGCAAACTCATATCTTCTCTCCTTATAGATGGGTTCACATTGTTTGTGCTCTGTATGTTCCTGGGGTAGCCTTTGGAGATATTGACAAATTACGGCCAGTAACACTAACAGAAATGAACTATTCTAAATATGGTGCCAAGGTAAGAAAAAAGTGTTTTTCATTATCTAAATGAGAAAATTTTTACTTGTTAGTGTCCATGGTTTTTTCTTTATGTTATTATTGACTACAAAAGTGCCTATTAGCAGTGGCCCTATGTGCTGAGCCCTTAGCTGCCAATCATTTATTATTGATAATACTTTCCCCCAAAACTAATAATGTGTTAATTCTTCCATGTATTGTTAACTTAAAATAACCTGTGGTATAAAATGATAATTGATACTACTACTGTTTCATTGGCATATGACATATTTCCTAGTTCACAGACCACAGTGTTTATAATCAGTTGTATCAAGTGTAATCTTAATTTCTGACTTTACTTTTGAAGTGAAATTTATAAAAAATTATGACAAAGAAATAAGAAGTACCCCCTTTTTACTTAGGTTTCAAGAATACACTTTATTTTTATTACTACATAATCTTCTGCTTAGTTTGACTCTCAGCCTTGATAGTTTATAAATTGGCTGTTTTTCATCAAACTCTAAGATCAAGGTACTCACAGATGGAGTCTGGTGAGGGCTTGTTCTCTGCTTCAGAGATGGTGTCTTGTGGCTTCTGTGGCAGAAAGGGGCAGTCTCTTATAAGGGCACTGATTTCATTCACGTGGGCTTCTCAGAAATAGCTACCTTTTAATATCACATTGGGTATTGTGTTCCTACATATGAATTTTTGGGGACACCAACCTTCCAGTACTTATTTTGGAAATAATGAAAATTGAGAAATTTGACAATTTCTGATATTATATTTTATGGCCACATATAGAAAGTCACATAATTGTAGGAAAAAAATCTTAGTTCTTTTAATAAAGGGCTCAGTTTTCTTAAAGACCTGTTAACAGATACTATGACACAGGAAATTATTTTGATGAGACTAAACTTTTTGTTGTTTTCTAGGTAGATTACTGTAAAAGTAAAGAAAAACCTTTCATATTTTTTTTTTTTTATTAAATACAGACTGGTATTGTAAGAAAATCTTTCTGATTTAACAGAGAAGACCAAATTCTAGTTTGCCTCATGTTATTGTATTTTTATATTTAATACTCAATTTGAAAAACTTTTAAGGAATTTCCTTCAAATCTTAGCAAGCTCAATCACATATAAAATTCCTTTCCCAAAATTTGTCTTCTACAAACTTACAATTTTCTTATATCCGTTCAGTTTTTGTTCTGTTCTTTATCTCCTTTCTCATTGTAGAATAGTCATTCTACAGTAGGACAAAACTTAATTTCTTTAACAAAACATATCCCTATAAAAACATAGCCTTCATATCTTATAGCTTCACTTAACCAAAGCAGAGTTTCTCTCTTATTATTTTTAGGTATAATTATCACAGATTCATTAGAATTCTAATTATTAGTAACTTTAGTTTCTAGTAAAAGCTAGGAAGTGAGCAATTGTGATTGCCTGTCACATGTCAACATTCTTCAGCTTAACCCTCATAATTTCTAGAACCACATGCTTCTAGAAATTTTAAAGTCTGCTAAAATTTTAAAATCTGCTTCTAGAAATTATGAGTGTCATTTTTCAATGTGGCATAGCACATGTTTACTAAGAGACCCACATCTTTATAGTTTCTTCATACGAAAAGCCAAAAATGGATAAATTCATGTTTGTCAATTAATATTTTAGTATTTTATCTTGTCCGGAAATGATCTAGTTTCCTTTTTGAAAATGATCTAAATATTCTGTGAATATTCATCATTTAACTTCAAGGTTATAAGTTACCAAAGAGATTTGTGAACCATTTTTAAATTGATAGATTATTGACATCAAACAGTGATAGTCGTATTCAAGTTATTTGCCTGTTAGCTATCTTTACAGGCAGCCTTCAGGAAAGCAAGGATCCTGAAATGTTAAGTACATGCAATTTTTGTTTTCCTGCTGTGCTTTAACTTACTGATAGTTGCTAAAAGACTTTTGCCTTCTGTAAGGAATCTTTTAGAGAAGTAGTTTTTGATTCATTTATCTTTTAGATGTTTTTTTTTTATATTGATCAGTAACAACATCTCATTGTTTTTGAGTCTTTTTGGGTCATTACTTTTCTAACACATCTTGCTAGTGAATAATTTTGTCAAGATTACTGTAATTATAAATTGTCCTTAATAAGGAAAACACACATATTTTTCCAAATATACATAGGTTCTAGGCTTGTTATTTTTGTAAATAGAATTAGCTGGTATCTCAATTTGACTCCCAGACTCCTTAGATTCAGAACCCATTTTCAGAAGGTACCTAACTGAGACCTTAACTGAACCTGTTATTTATTGTATTCAATCCGGTCCTGGATCCAGTTTGATTAAAGAAATCCCTAAAGTTAGAGAGGTTAAAAACTCATTTGCAGAGCCTGAATCTGAGAGGAATTCACCTACAACCTCCAGTTACAAAGAGAGCAGCAGACATGCTGGTCTGATCTTTACCTGGTTGCTCATTCTTTCTGGGGATTGCTAAAGGTTTCCTTTGGATCCCACTTCAGATAATAAAAATAATTAAAAATCTCTGGATATAAGTTTCACCTGGTATATTTGAGCATTAAAAGATTTATGAATTAGGCAGCAGTAAAAACTGGAAGAGGTTCAGAGGGCTTTGTTTTAGCAGTATTAGCTCCAGGCTTAATGCAGAAGCAGAAGAGTTACTTAATGGATTATAGCCATGCTTACCTATAGAGACGTGGATGAGGTCTAGTAGAAAGCCCCAAGTTATATATAACTAAAGTTTAGTTTTCCTTTGTGATTGGCTGAAACTCTGTTTTTTAAAGTCAGATTGTTTACAAGGAATTCCTCTAAATTTCTGTTTGCTTATGTGAGGATTTGGGATACAGAAACAACAGGAGCTTAATGATCTCTTGCTTATTTTGCTTTAAGAAAGTATCATTGAAAAATGGAATTGAAAATTATGTACAATCTAGCTTATAGATAAAATGGAACCCATTGTTGTTCACATCTATATCCAGAGCCTTGTTCTTATTGTTTTTACTCATTGCTAATGTTTATCCTGGTGCTGTCTACCCATTGAGTAGTCACTATTATAGTTTTCAAACAGTATCTACAGTCTGATGAAACTTTATTTTTGCATGTTTCCCTCATATTTAGTTTACTTAGAATATATACCCTGAACACTTCTTTGTCTATTGGCAGTCTTTCATGGTTTAGTACTTTTTTTTTTTTTTTTTTTTTTAGTACTGGGGATTGAACACAGGGGTACTTAACCACTGATCCACATCCTCAGCCCTTTTTAAAATTTTATTGAGAGACAGGTTCTTAACTGAGTTGCTAAGGGCCTTTCTGTGTTGCTGAAGCTGGGTTTGAACTCATGATCCTCCTGCCTCAGCCTCCTGAGACCCTAGGATTACTAGTGTGCACCACTGTGCCTGGCTTAGCAGGTTTTTTAAAATGAAGATTTATGTTACTAGAGCAATTCATATTTCGAGACTAGACTCTTTTGTTAAGATAGTTAAAAGGATAAAAAATAAATTTAATTGGAGGATTTTTAACAATTTAGCAGTTTATACTTTTCTTTTTATGGTTTTTCCTCTTTATATATAAATAATGTAAATAATTTTCTGTGTTGTGTATCACTATCATTTTTCACCAGCTTTTTAAATCTAAAATTACATTTAGTTCTTTTAAAAGTGTTTTTAAAAATGCATCATTTGTTTGATTGCATTAGTTTTTTTTTTGATGAATAGTCTCTTAATTATTTTTATTTTTCAAGCAAGATTCTGTTAAAAGTTAGTATAGGTTAATGGTGGACTTTGAAGTAAGATTGTCTTGGTTTGAAGCATGACTCCCAATTATTTTTTTTGTTATATGGGCAGGTGAGTGAACCCATCTCTACCTTAATTTTCCTATGAGTAATAGAGGAGTAATTATAACTCACTCCTTCAATATAATAGTTGTGTTAAGTGATTATATATATTAATATATGTAAAGTGCTTAGAATAGTGCCTGGAACATATTAAGTGCTCATCTTAATTGTTAATTGTTATCATTATATTATTGTTATTTAAGTTGCATTTTGATTTATTAAAACTGTATAGAGAATTACCTTTTTTTATAAACTCCTGGCTTGCTTACAGTTATGACTTGTGTTGGTACTCTGTTGGTTTACTATTAATATTTCTTTAGCATTTAGCATTTCAAATGAGAAGTATCTTTGTTTTAGAAATATTTTTTTGCTGTGGGAATTTTCCTATTGTTCTTTTGTAGGAATGTAGCTTTTGTGAAGATCCTCGTTTTGCTAGAACTGGAGTTTGCATTAGCTGTGATGCAGGGATGTGCAGAGCTTATTTTCATGTGACCTGTGCCCAGAAGGAAGGTCTGCTTTCAGAGGCAGCAGCAGAAGAGGTTCGTTAATTTAAATTGTAGGTGGTGAATGTATTCATAATACATAATTCTCATGACACTGTTATGTTCTATAACAAGATACAAAACAAAAGAAATTTGAAAATTTATTAAAATCTTTCTTACATCACTATTCTAAACTTTAAGAGTAAATATCTGAGTTTTGTTAATCTTAAAACTAGTTAGACTTTTGGGAAACATTAAAATTTTTATGGTGAGATCTAACAGATAACATGATACACAATCCCAGGTGTTTTAAAGCATCAAAATGCCAGCATATTTTATACAAGAGTCTGCAAATATATTTGGGTAATTATCTCCTTGGTGTGTTATTATCTTTTTACCAATAATTCCATTGTATTCCTTAAAGGTTTACTGGCATTGGATTAGGCGATTATTTGTTTTTGAAGGGTATTTTGGGAACATCTTAAGATTCTTTCAAGGAGTTAAGATTCTTTCAAGGAGTTAAGATTCTTTCAAGGAGTGTGAGATTGAAACTATGTTTACAACAATATGAAACCATTATTTGCTTTTTTAAAATCTGCATTTTCATGAGTAGTAGAGATTTCCAGAGAGTACTCACAGCATAGCAAAATAGCATCATAAATATTGAAACAGTTTTGAGAATCCAGTTATCTTTTTTTATGTCATCCATTTAGACATTAAAAAGAATTACAAAAGTAAAAAAAAAAAACAGTGCCTCTTCTCATTAAATTTTTTGTGTAAGTTATAGTGATTTTAATAAAATATGTATTTATGATAAGAGGCTTTTATTTTAAGATTAAATTCATGAACATTAAAAAATTTCTCAGTTTTAATTTATAATATAATAACTATCTAAATGTATAACTCATAAACTTTGGGGGTCTGCAATAATTTTCAAGTGGTACAGAGTCCTTAGAGCAGGTCCAGTTGATTTTTTTTTTTTAATATGGGTATTGATTGAATGTTTATTTAGTAATTTTTATGATGTAGTCATGATAGCTCTACAGTAATATGTAAACCTGTTTTTGTTATGTTCCTTCTTTTATTAGGTGAATTTTCAATATCAAAAATATATGCTTGGCTTTTGTATTAGTACTTTTCTTTCATAGCCAGGAAACAAATACAGATAATCTGATGAAGAAAGTTTATTGAAAAAATGTGAGGAATATATTTCTATTTTATTTTTATTTAAGTGGATCTTATAGGAACATTTTATTTTTAATACATATATATCTGTCTTAATTCCAAGCTCTGATTCTGAGGAGTGTACCTTGATTAATTGGTGAAGGATACTGGATGAACATAGTATTTTCACAGCTATTGGGTAGAACAGAGTTGTGATTCTACATTTGGGTTATGTGAATTAGTCATGGCTATCACCCTAGATGATGGAAAGAAGTTTAGAAATATATAGTGCAGTATAAGTAAGACTCAGAGTACCAGATAAATTCCCAGTGAATACTAGTATCAGAGAATCTGTAGTTTAAGCTTAGTTGTATACTGGAAAGTTGAGCTTTGTAGTTAGGACATTTCTTTTGTAGTCATTCTTTTCAGACTTATTGAGTGCAGAACCTTTTATATTATGGTGGTATTATACTTTGCAGTGAGCCATATATAGTCCTTTTTGGAAAGAGAAAAGGTCTTGAAGGAAGTGATTTAAAACATATTTACATTTGTTTTTGGTTTGTGTTCTACAGAGAACTGGAAAATAATAAAGGTTTCTCAAAAGTGTTTTAAAAAAGTCAAGACTTTAAATTAATATCAATAAGATTTGCTTTTGATAGTAATATTTCTGTTAAAATGAAAGTCATGATTGTATATTGTTATAGATCTGTACATTGGGATTCATGGAATGTAATAATATTTTTTAATTAAGAAACATTTTAGGACCAGAGGTGGAGTTCCTTGTTAGAGTGCTTGCTAAGCATGCATGAAACCCTGGGTTCCATTTCTAGCATCACAATGAAAATAAAAAAGGAAAGAAGAAAAAGAAACATTTCAAATTAGAATGGATATATTGCTTGTAAGCGTATCTTGCCTTCTATATCAGTTTTATATTTCCTTTGGCTTTTCTGGGAAGCAGTTTTATTTCTAAAGACTTATCAAGTTGGATTTCTTACTTTTTCTATGGCAGTTTTATACAGGCAATTAAACAAAGGTTGAAAAAATAGTATGAATACCTCAGGTTCATCTGATGATATTATACACCTTAACACACTTTTTATGACTTTTCATAGCCTTCTGCCACAGTGCTTTATCACAGTGGTGAGGAAACATTTGAAGTCTTTATTCTTTTCGATCCACTTTGTAAATATTTCAGATTATTTTAGAATAGTTAAACCAGGTTATGACACAACCTGTGTTACTGAAAGCTGTTGAAACCATGTTATGACACATGTTATTTTAAAAACTGTGCTCTAGCACAGGTTTAGTTGTGAAGACTGGCATTTCTGTCATAATACTCTGTAGTTAGTCTTAACTTATGGTACCATGTAGTTAGTTTTAAAGTTACCTGTATTCCAACTAAACCTATATAGTAATTTCTTCTGTGATTAAAATACAATTTTACTACTATTGATCAGTGTTGTACTGCTACCTAAAAAATTTTTCTTTGAAGCAGTATAAGATTATTTGTAGGTTTTATTGATTTTTCCCGCAAACTTTGAAGACATTCATGAATTAAATTTTTAGGGCTTGACTTTAACTGCTGAACTGGTACCTTAATATGGCTAGGAGAACTAGAATTGGTAGGAATGAACTCTTGGTGCAGTTTAAAGTGAAAGGTAGAATTGGATATTTTAAAAGTGTTTTACAATTATTGATTCACACACATTTGGTATGAATGATATGTCAGCTTTTAATAAGCCTAATTCCTAACACTTTTTTTTTTTTGTAAAATCTGATGCCAAAGGTTAATTTTGTTCTCCTGGATAAACCTTATTTGCTACATTATTATTATTTTTTTAAGATAAAAGGTAAATACATTTTATAAGAAATATAATTTAAAATATACTAAGTTGCTTAATATAAATTTAGATTCAATTTACTCTGGTTTCAGACAGTAATTTTATGCAAATAATAAGAGTGGTTTAAGAATTGATAAAATAGGTCTGGAGATATAGCTTAGTGGGAGAATGCTTGTCTAGTATGTATGAGGCATTGGATTTGGTCCCCAACACTGAAAAAAAAATGGATGAAATATTTCACCTGTAATTAACCATGTATGGAGGCACCCCACAGAATGGGAGAAAATATTTCAAATTATGTATCTGATAAAGGATCACTATCCAGATTATGTAGAAAACTCTTAAAACTTTTGACAACACCACCAATAACCCCCCAAAAAACTTATTAAAAAATAGGCAAAGGAGTTTAATAGATATTCTTCAAATCAGTGAAAAGATGCTCAATGTTACTGATCCTTAGGGAAAGCCAAACCCCAGTGAGGTGTACCACCTCACACATCTGAATGCCTACTATCAAAATAATGATAGAAAGTAACAAGCACAAGTGTTGGTGAGGGCATGAAAAAATATTAAAACCCTTGAATCCTCTTGTTGGGAATATTAAATGGTACAGCTCCTATGGAAAAAAGCATAGCAGATCCTCAAAAAATTAGAAATATAATTATCGTGTGATCAGCAACCCTGTTCTGGGTATAAATCTAAAAGAATTGAAAATAGGGTCTTGAAGAGACATTTACACATGTATGTTAATTGCAGCATTATTTATAATAGGTGAAAGCAATTGGAATGTTCATTCATAAAATAGTAAAGAAAATGTAACTTTAAAAAGGAAGGAAATCCTTTAATCTCCCATAAATGGATGAATTTTAGGACATTATGTTTCATTAAATAAAGCCAGTTACAGAAAGACAAACTATATGATTCTGTGTGATTCTTTATATAGCATCATAGTCATAGAGACATAAAGTAGAATGGTGGTTGCCAGAGGCTGGGAGAGAAAGGAATGGAAAAATGTTGTTCATAATCTAGAATTTCAGTTTTACAAGATAAAAAGAATTACCGAGGTGAATGGTAATGATGGTTACAAAACATTATGAATGTATTTAATACTTCTGAACTGTGTGCTCAAAAATGATTAAATGATAAATATTATCCTAGGTTTTTTTCTTTTAACTTTTTCTTTATTTATGTTACTTGTCATTAGTTATACATGACAGTGGAATGTATTTTGACATTATACATATATGGTGTATAACTTCTCATTCTTCTGCTTCTACATGATGTAGAATTATGTTGGTTGTGTAATCATATATATACATAAAAAAGTAATATCTAATTCATTCTACCATCTTTCCTATTCCCATTCCCCCTCCCTTCCCTTCATTTCCCTTTGTCTAATCCAAAGTACTTCTCGAAGAGACTTCCCTGCCTCCCTGGCCCCTTATTGTGAGTTAGCATCCACAAATCAGAGAGAATAGTCTATGTTTTTTGAGGACTGTCTTATTTCACTTAGCATGATAGTCTCCAGTTACATCCATTAAATGAAGTGTCAAATTGCTATAATTTCATTTCTCTTTATGGCTGAATAGTAGTATTCTGTTGTGTATGTATACCACAATTTATTTATCCATTCATCTGTTGAAGGGCACGTAGGTTGGTTCCATAGTAATAGCTATTGTGAATTGTGCTGCTATGAACATTGATGGGCTGAGTCACTGTAGCATGCTAATTTTAAGCCCTATGGGTATAAACCAAGGAGTAGGATAACTGGGTCAAATGGTGGTTCTGTTTCAAGTTTTCTGAGGAATCTCCATATGGCTTTCCAGAGTGGTTGCACCAATTTGCACCCCACCAGCAATGTGTGAATACCTCTGTATTTAATAAAAATGCCAGTATTTTTTGTTACTTGTATTCTTGATAATTGCCATTCTGACTGGTGAAATGAAATCTCAGTGTATTTTTAATTTGCATTTGTCTAACTGCTAGAGATGTTGAATATTTTTTCATATATTTGTTAACTGATCATATTCTTCTTCTGTGAAGTGCCTGTACAATTCCTTTGCCCATTTATTAATTGAGTTATTTGCATTTTTGTGTTAAGTTTTTTGAGTTCATATCTACCTATCTATCTATCTATATCTAAATATATCTATCTCCTGGAGATTAGTTTTCCACATGAGTATTTTATCTCTTTAGTAAATTCTGTATTGTAGTAAAAAAAGATAAATATTATGTATTCTTTAAATTTTTTTTAGTAGTAAATGGACACACACATTTATTTTGTTTAATTTTATAATGTGGTGCTGAGGATCGAATCCCGTGCCTCATACATACCAGGCGAGTGCTAAAACCCCAGCCCTCTTTTGTGTTTTTCTACAATAAAAAATTGAAAAAAAAATTGAGCCATAAGATTTAGGGAAAAATGACCAAGTGATGAATACCACATGCGGAAATGTACCTTCATAATTAAGTTTGAGTACAGTACAGATAGATACTTTTTTTTTTTTTTTTTTTTTGGTACCAGGGATTGAACTCGGAGGCATTCAACCACTGAGCCATATCCTCAGCCCATTTTGTATTTTATTTAGATACAGGGTCTCATTGAGTTGCTCAGCGCCTCACCGTTGCTGAGGCTGGTTTTGAACTCCATCCTACTGCCTCAGCCTCCCGAGTGGCTGGGGTTACAGGAGTGCGCTACCATGCCCAGCTCAAGGACAGATAGTTATTATCCATGTGAAAGATATTCACAAAGAAACATTGGTTACCTTCAGTTTTTATATAGCTATGATTTTGTATATGGTATAGGTTAAAATATGTGTATTTTCAGATTCATTTTTCTCTTTTAGTGTCAAGATCCCAGATATGTAGACATTGAATTTACATTAAAAACTTTTCATCTATAAAAAAATGTTAGAAATTTCAAGTATTGGCATAAGAAATTAACAATACTTGCCCCCAAATATTTTTTTTTGTTTTGGTCTTTATTATCTGGATATTTCAGATTTAAGGACAAAACTCTTTAAGAACTAAACTATAACCATAGAATAAATAACTACCCATAAAATTTCATCAAGGTTACTGCAGGTGTTGCTTATGTTTCTCTTGCCTTTAGTTACTTATTAATACATTTAATGTCATGTGTGGAACATATTTGTCCAGTTTATATGTTAGTCCAGAAATATAACTTGACAAGCACTTATGGATAGAAATACAAATGTTGGTCAACTTCGGATGATGTTTTCTCCTGGTAAACCCATCATAAGTTCAAAGTCTCCTAAGGTTTTCTAATTTAGTGCCCCTAACCTTGTACATTGATAGTTTAGCAGCATAATACACTGTAGAATTTGAGTTGTGTACTCTTCTGATCTCCTGGCTGATTGGGAGCTGTGACTCATTGCTACTGCCCAGCATCTCAAGAGTGTTGTACCATGTATCATTGGCCTGGGAAAAGATCAAAATTCAGAATCTGAGGTAGTTTCTACTCAATGTGTATCATTCAGTAGAAATGACTTTTACATCATTATAAAATGGAAAAATTATAAATTGAACTATTATAAGTTGTGGATTGTATATGCAGACACTATTTAATATATTTTTTAATTTTTTTTGTTGTAATAGATGGACAGAATACTTTTTATTTTATTTATTTTTTTATGTGGTGCTGCTGAGGATTGAACCTAGTGCCTCACACAGGGTAGGCAAGCACTGTGCCAGAGCTACAGCCCCAGCCCCCACTATTTAATATTCATGTTCTAAAATTCAATTGTGTTAGCTTTCCTTTACTAAGACAAATACCTCAACTTCTAAAGGGAAAGGTTTATTTTGGCTCATGGATTTATTGATAACAGTTCCCAAATATTATTATTATTATTTTTTTGATGCTGGGGATTGAACCCAGGGCCTTGTGCATGCAAGGCAAGCACTCTACCAACTGTGCTATATCCGCAGCCCAGCAGTCCCTACATATTTTTTTATTGATAGGGTCTTGCCTTCTTAATCTGTTTTTGTACTGGGTAAGATCTGCCTACACAAACCATGTAGAAATTGTCCACTTAATCTGTGCTGATTAGTCCTATATTGCTGATTAGTCCTAAATTGCCATTTGTTGTTTAATAGTGTTAATCTATATATTTTAGCTTTAATATTTATTGATAGTTTCTACCTAAATGTATTAAAATCTTTTTTGTTTTAAACTGTTTTTTTTTTGTAAAGAATATACAATATACCCAATTTGATTTCAGTATTTTTAAATCCATAAGGCCCTCTATTTTATTTTTTTTGGTGTTTGGGATTAAACCCAGGTTCTCGTGTATGCAAGGCAAGTGCTCTCAAACTAATACCTCCAGTCCTCCATAAGGCCCTTTAAAGAAAAAAAATGTTATTTCAAGTCAGTAATTTGAAGTTGACATAGTAATTTGAAATTGGATTAAGTTCTAAAGCAGTAATCTTTATCATGATGTATGAAAATGACTTCCACAATTTATTACAGAAGTAACCAACACTAGGAGATTCTTCAAAAAGGTAGTATTGTTCTTTTGTGTGTTTTTTTTTTTTAATGACCCATTGGAGAAAACTATTCATTTTCCCCTCTTTTTTAAAAAATAGGATATAGCAGATCCATTTTTTGCTTATTGTAAGCAACATGCAGATAGATTAGACAGAAAGTGGAAGAGAAAAAACTACTTGGCTCTACAGTCCTACTGTAAAATGTCTTTGCAAGAGAGAGAGAAACAACTGTCACCAGAAGCACAGGTATGGGAATCATGCCAAAGTCATTTTGTTCCTTTTAAGATTAAGGATTTCAGATCTTGCGCATGTTTGCCGATGATATCTAAAGTATAATTTTGAAATTCATTTATTGAAGTGGTTTGTGATTTAAAGTAAAATGGTGAGTAGAGTTTGTTATTGAAGATTGTGCTCCTCATCTAGTCAACAAAGCAGCCATTTATAAAGTATATTTCCAAAGAAGAGTGTGGCAAAAATTATTTTATCAGTACAATTTCTTTTTTTTTTTCAATTCAGTTCTAATGTTCATTTATGCATAGGATTTGATCAGTTTGCCCATTATTTATAACATATTTTTGGGTACATTAAGTAAATCTGTGGAAATTATTGCCGTAATTGAGAAGCTTCAGGACAGTATTTATTTGGTGAAAATTCAGTTTATTTTAATCTCAGAATAAGGCTATACTTTAAGGACCACTGATACATATAATTTACCTCAAGTAGGAGTTTTAGTTATCTTTACTTTCTTTAAGTGTAAAAGTTTAAATCAAAAGGAGTATGTTCTATTTTTTTTTTTTTAACTTTTAAAATTTGTGTACATTTCTTTTACAGGCAAGGATCAATGCCCGGCTTCAGCAATATCGTGCCAAGGCAGAACTGGCTCGATCCACTAGACCCCAGGCATGGGTTCCAAGGGAAAAATTGCCTAGACCACTCACTAGTAGTGCTTCAGCTATTCGTAAACTGATGCGGAAAGCAGAACTAATGGGGATCAGTACAGATATTTTTCCAGTGGACAATTCAGATACTAGTTCTAGTGTGGATGGAAGGAGAAAACATAAGCAACCAGCTCTCACTGCTGATTTTGTGAATTATTATTTTGGTCAGTATAGACAATGATAATGCACATTTTTACTGAGAAAAATATGCTAATGCAAGTATTTTATGCTATTAATTTTTAGAAACTCATTAGCCATGTTACTATATCAAAATAAAGGCATGTTTTTTTTCCTAAGTGGTATATGTTTGTAAAAATCTAGGTTCATGTTGTTTTCTATATACTTAAAAGTGTTTAAATAATGCAGGTTTATGTGATCATCTCTATAGCTAGTTTCTTTCTTTGTGTATTTTTTATACCAGTTTTTACTTTCTACTAAAGTAAAATTGGATATTTAATTTAAATAGAGAGAAATATGCGCATGATTCAAATACAGGAAAATATGGCTGAACAAAAGAATATAAAGGATAAATTAGAGAATGAGCAAGAAAAGCTTCATGTGGAATATAATAAGGTAAGTTGGCTCCAAAACACATAGCAGAGTATCATAGATCTTATGATTTCTTTTGTGATTCTGTAGGAATTCCATATATGTCTCGTTTTTGAGATTCTAGAGCTTTGAGGCTCTTCTCCCCTTCAGTACATTTATTATCATCACTCTCTCACTGAGTAGTTTCTATGTGCCAGGCATAATTCTGATCTTTTTATATATACCAACTCATTTGCTTCTTACCTTAATTTTGTAGCATAGATAATGATTATTGCTAACATTTTCAGGGAGGAAACTGAGTCCTGAAAAGTTTAGGTAATTTGCCCAGGCTCACATAGTAGTAGTAGTCAAGTCCTAGAGTTGGAGTTCATGCATCTGACTTCATTCCTTATTCCTAACATGCACACAGTATCACTATAGAGCTTCTCTAGTTTGTAGAAAAATTTGAAACTTATTTTTAAATTGTTGTTTTTACCTTGAGTTGTATTGTAACATAACTTTTTATATGGAAATACTTTTCAATTTAAATTTTCAGTGTACGTTTCATTCTGATGAGGAGAGAAATAATATATATAAAAACAAAATGTGGCTAGTGTCAGGTACTTAGTAACATAAGCAAATAAAACTAGTATTAACTTATTGTTGGAGAACATTTCAAGTGAATTTAAAAAATAATAAAAGTAAGTTTTAGTGGTCAGCCAGCCACTGTAGTAACAAGATTTGGTTAGACTCGGAAGACCTGGGGATTCTTGGTAGTTCTGTGATCTTAGCCAGTTTACAAAGTCCTTTGATTCTTAGCTTGATCATGGCGAAAATGATAGAAATATGTCTTGTCGGAAGCAAGGATTAATTAGCAGAGTATTGTAAAATTATATAACAAACTATAATGAAATATATAACTGTGTGTCATCATAAGACAGAATGCTTACATTCTGTTGATGTTTGTAATTAATTGGATAGCCTTGTCTCTCAGAGGTATTATGACTTGAATATTTTTAAAATATATGGAATTTAAATGTAGATATTGCATATTTATTGATAAATTATTTAAATTCCTACATAAGGAATTTTACTAATTTGACTTACTCACTTTGTAGCTATGTGAATCATTAGAAGAACTACAAAATCTGAATGGAAAACTTCGAAGTGAAGGGCAAGGAATTTGGGCCTTACTAGGCAGAATCACAGGGCAGGTTAGTTTCTTTCCAATTGCTTTCTTCAATTCTTATGCACTCTCATTTTCAAAGACTAGGTTTCTGACATGACTGTCACTTCACTAACTGAAGAATTTTCTTTGATCAGAGTCTCATCCTCTTGGATAATGATTTCTGCCTGAAATACATCTAAAGCATTGGAAGCTGCCTACTGAAACCTGTAGCTTAATTTCGTTGTTTCAACTGCTATCTTGCTTGCAAAAATTTTTCATTTGCTCAAACTGATTGACCTGTCATTTATTGATGAACTAAGATTTGAAGCATGAGTTCTGCCACATTCTTTTTTATACCACCTTCTTTTAAAATAAGTTTTGGATTTTTTGCCATATTTTTTCTTTTATGTTCTTGTGTTATATTCAGTTCTTTATTTTATTTGGGTATAAAAATTTAAATGTAAAAAGAAACTGCAGAGAGTCATTTTCATGTTAATTTGCTTTTGAGCTGTGTAAAGGATAGTTTTTCAAACTTAAGTGTAGTTTTTCCCCTTCAACAGTAGCTATTATTGTAGTTGTAAAAAAAAGTCCTTTATCCTCAAATACTTTTAGCCTGTTAAAGTTCTTGGTGTTGAAAAAAATATTGCTAAATGAAATTTTTTAAATGCCATTTTTAGTACCATGTAAATAATTAATAAGTTAAGATTTTTTTCTAATAATTTAAGAGATATTTTTAAGGATGATTAAGAACCAGTACTTCTAATATAAAAGTAGTTTTAGGACTGGGGATGAAGCTCAGTGGTAGAGTGCTTGCTTAGCATGTGGGAAGGACCTGGTTTCAAACCCTAGTACTACCAAAAAAAAATAAAAAAGTTTTATTTGTGGAGAATTTTTTTTTAAAAATATATTTTTTCATTAATTTTTTAAGATATTTACAAAGAGTCAAATTTATCACATAATTTGTGTAGATGTATTATTTAATGAACTAATTCATTCTGATTTTTATTGTTTCATGCTAGCTTTTTTGTGAACAGAATATTCGTGGTATAATCAAGTATAATCAAGAATAATTTATTTTTAAAGATGAGAATGAGGAATTGGCTCTGAAAGAACTAATCTTTATTCCTGATGATAGATTGTTGGTGGGTTTTTGAAGATTATGGTGTGTTTTTGTATTTGATATTTAGAGAAGGTAATGTTGAGCGCAAAGCTTTAGTTTATTTACCTAGTTGCCATTACATTTTGGCTGGAATTGCAAGTTTGTCTCAAAAGAATCTCCTATTCAATGTAAAAAATTATTCACTATAAAAGACATTTTTATTTATTAAATGACTTTCCATAGAGGCTTACAAATTTCCTTGTGCAAATATACAATGCAAAACTGAAACAGAATTTGTTTGTACTGTTTGCCTGAGACTTTTTTTTTCCAGTTGGCTGAGCAGATGTGGACCCACCGGGCCACTAAGAAATGATTTTGATAGATGGTTGCTGTCTGAGAAGCCAGCATTCTACAGATTAGTAGAAACCCAAAGAGAATCTCATACACTTTTGTTGGAGAATTTGGTCCAATAAGATAATTTTTCTAATTAACCTATGGAGCACCAATATTGTTGGGATGTTGAGGAAAATAAACGGCTTCGATATTTTTTTTGTCAAGTGAATTATGTTATTTTTTTTAAACCTCCTATACACTATCCTCATCTTTCACTTTTTCAATATAAAGTAATTTAATTTTCATAATGTTTTAATATACCACTGAAAATGGATGAAAGTATGTAATTATAGGTTTCTAATAGAAGTGATTGTTAGACAAAAACTTATTTCTTTTTGCCAATGTAATAGCTGGTAAAGCAGATTTCCCCTCACTATCCTAGTACATTTAGTTGGCTCCAGTGGCATATAGAGGAAAATGTTGCTTTATATTTCATCTTTAAAACAACATATACTGCATTTGTTCAAATCAATAGAAGTTGAACATACCAGCAATTTTGAGAGCACCCAAGGAGAGAAAACCAAGTAAAAAAGAAGGAGGCACACAAAAGACATCTACTCTTCCTACAGTACTTTATAGGTAAGTAATGAAATTATAATAGAATAATGTTTTATATTTTTTTAGCTAATATTTGTAAAAAATACTTCAAATATTTGAGTGAATCATCTCCATACAATAATTTAAATTAAATGCATATGAAGTTCATTTGATCAAAGATGATTTCAAGGTTCAATGATAAGAGACTTTTGTTTCTTTTAATGAGATAAAGGACTTTTTATATCTTTTAAGTAATTAGGGATATATCTGTATAAGCTCTATGTAAGTGAGTTCTATTTGGGGAATTGGAAAGATGCTTTGAAAATGTGATTATGGTTTAAATAATTAAAGCAACACACTTAATAAATGGACATTTACAGTTTATTTTACTTGAATGAATTGTGAAGTTTTGTGTTTTTAAATAGTTATAGATATCATGTAGTGTGAATCTACTGTCTTTGTAGGGAGTGGATAATGAAGATAAATTTTAATTTTGAGGCTATCTGTACTCTTTTTGTTCAGTTGCAATAATTTTGTTTCCAGAATATTTTTGTTCTTTACTTTTTATGTTCAATATTTTTACCATGTT